CAATTTCCTGATTACTCTCAATTTCCTGATTACTCTCAATTTCCTGATTACTCTCAATTTCCTGATTACCCTCAATTTCCTGATTACCCTCAATTTCCTGATTACCCTCAATTTCCTGATTACTCTCAATTTCCTGATTACTCTCAATTTCCTGATTACTCTCAATTTCCTGATTACCCTCATTTTCCTGATTACTCTCAATTTCCTGATTACTCTCAATTTTCTGAATACTCTAAATCTTCTTCGACCTGTTTTCAAACGTGGCTGATGCATGCGCGTGTGCTCCAAGCAAGGCTGTCGCCTTTCCTGATTCCAAATTCAACATTCAACAGATATTTAAGTCATGGATCTTGGCGAAGATAATGCTACTGTGTCGGAACTAAAGCTATTTCTGAAATCTATCCTTGAAACTTTTTCCAACACCGCAGACAAATTCGTCTGTGGGGATATCACTCGGCTAGAAATTTTGGAGAAAGCACTGTCAGATCAGACTGGTGTGGTTATAGCAATGGAAGCTGTCGTAGCGGAGGCGATTGTTGATAGTGTTGGGAGCATTCCTTCTTCTTATAACGTGGAAACTAACAGACAACTGCACACGTGATGAGCAACTTAAGATTGTAATTCTTGATATTTTGAACAATACACCAGGTGCAGGTGAAACCTATGTTATAGGAGGTATTCATAGTAAAGGGATACGGGTACAAAGATGGCGGGTGCGTAAGCATCTGTGTATATTAGATGCAGTTGGCAGGGCCATTAGAAAAAGGTGCTCCATAAAACGTAGAGTATATAATGTTAGGATGCCTAATGAGTTATGGCACATAGATTCAAACCATACACTCATTGCATACTGTTTTGTCTTGCATGGATGTGTGGATGCATATAGCCGAGGTATCATGTACCTGCAAACATAATAATAAGTCAACTACTGTCCTGAAAATGTTTAGTGATGCTGTGGAGCATTATGGTCTACCGTTGTGTGTTAGATGTGACAGAAGAATGGAGAATTTTGATGTAGCAAAATATATGATCTATAATAGAGGGGCAGGAATAGGAAGTTTTATTGCTGGAAGAAGTGTTCATAACCAGAGGATAGAAAGGTTATGGGCAGAAGTGAAAAGAGTTGTAAACAAATACTACAAAGAGCTGTTTGGATGGATGGAACTGCAAGGAATACTTGATCAGCTAAACGAAATTCACTTGGCTGCTTTGCACTATGTGTTTTTACCAAAGATTGAGAAATCACTTGCAGAATTCACAAGTCAGTGGAATTATCATGGCCTGCGAACTATGAATAACATGTCTCCTCTTGCTTTGTGGAGACAGCATGTTACAGTTGAGACACCTGGCACAGCAGGTGATTGCAATGGTGTTGATTACAATATTAGTTACCCTCTTTTGCACATGGCCAATACATTCGTACTTAACAACTTTGATGTTGTCATATTTGTATACTTCTTGATTGGAAAAAAGGTCTTGCTATCCCCATCACCATAAAAATGATTATAAAGCAGGGAATGCTCCTCCTTTGAGCGTTAAAAGATCATTTGTGCCCCATTAGGCTCCATGGCGGAGCAGATCCCCTATAATTTGCATTGCAAACATGGTTTGATTTCCATAATAAAAAGCCAGTAGATTCCTTGTGATCTTTCTAGTGCTTCTGGCAATCCTTACAATAGCGTGACATTGCCGCAACATTCAATACCTTTCCAGTGTCTATTGATAAAGCAGCAACACAACCATTTAGGGAGGCATATCCAGGCTTCTGCCATGTTCCATCAACAGACACACCACAATTTACAACTGCATTTTTATCAACACCATGTAATTCACAACTGGCAGCTGCCATACTGTCCCCTGCAACCTTGAAAACTTTGCTCTTTAATCGTTCCAAAATTTAAATATAGTTTTTTTTGTTCGTAAATATAGTTTGGCATTTCCATCAGACCACAAAATCTCCTGGCTCCAGCAAAGCCCTGTCCAATAGATCTCATTACATAAATGAGACGAACATTCACATCATATGCAGATCCTGATTGGGCTGAGGTGTGAAATTCATAAATCCACCCACAAGTTAAACAGTGCAGTTGCAGGCAACTGGCACATCCCATCTTCCTCTTAGGTATTTCGTTAAGAGTCAATCCCACTGCATCACAAACTGGGCATCTAAAAAGTTTGAAAACATTGCCAAGCAGATCTAAGTCCATGGGGTGAGAACCTGTTGCACTATCTGCACATTTTGCCGTTTTTATTGGGCTTAGGCTTGAAGCAAGCTTTCTTGAAGAAACAGACCTTGCATTTTTTTCTTTAATTTGTGTTGAGCACATGTTGCTATTGCTGCTTACATCAATCGTTGGACTGGTGTTAGGCCTAGCAATCACTAACTCTGGATTGGCTTTTATTTTGGCGACTTTACAGCTTAAAACCTTTTTCTTGCTACTTTAAGCATCTGAAAACTGATTTCCTTGATATCTGCGCTTTCTTCTCCTCACTGATCAAAATTTTCGTTTTGGAAAAGCACTTTTTTCACTATTGTCCTCCAATGGAAATTTGGGCTAGCTCCAAATGAAAAGGTGCCATTTTTTAATCTCTACTGAGAACAGCATGCTTCAAAGCAAGGTTGAAAGCGAGCAAATAAGACAAATAATAAATAAAGGCAAATTGGGGCTATCGGGTTCATAGTGACCAATTTTTCGAAGTTTTTATTGTTGCTAAGGGCGTTGCTATGCTATAATTACGACCATCATCGATACCTGAGAGAACGGTCTCTATTGATGCCCAGCGTTGCCAGCAAGCAGGACAAAATTTTTCGAAGCCTACCCAAATTAGAAGAAAGTAGTATATCGACAAAAGTTATGAGTGGACATGAAGCTGACACGGACTGTGACAGTGAAGTGGAAAGTTTGGTACTCTTGCAAGACGAAACTTCCTCTTCCCCTGAATCAAGCAAATCTGGTGAGATTCGTGATTCCTTTTATTGGATTCTATCTATAATAAGTTAAGTAATGATGTCTTAAATCTAGTTTCTGTTGATTTTCAAATTTATGATACCTTCCCTCTCCTAGACCTCATTTGTAGCTTAATCCTGATGAAAAATTATTCATTTTTTATATATTAATATAAATAAAGGTTGTATATAATAAGCAACTCACCCTATTCGTTTCCAAAGACGGCGACCTTCTCACGTCATCCACCGATATAAAAAAGAGATGGGTGGAACACTTTGACGAACTCCTCAATCAACCTACTGATGTTGACGATAGCCTCATTGACGAAATTGAGCAGCTTCCCATTGATAACTCCCTCGACCTCCCATTAACAGAAGAGGAACTTGACACTGCACTAAAAAACACAAAGCTTGTTAAAAGCCCTGGTCCCGACGGCGTTCTTCCCGAAGTTCTTGTACACGGAGGAAATACACTGAAAGCCTTTCTCTTTGCCATAATCTCAATGTTTTGGATTACTGAAAACATGCCATCCGAAGTAACTGACCCAAACATCACTATTCTCTTTAAGAAAGGGGATCAAAGTCAATGCGGAAACTACTGTGGCATTTCCCTCCTAAGTGTTGTAGGAAAGTTGTTTGCTGACATTCTCCTGCAAAGGCTCAAACGTATAGCTGACAAAGTGTATCCCCAGTCCCAATCCGGCTACCGTCAGAACAGAAGTACCATCGACTGAATCTTTACTCTGAAACAACTGATGGAAAAAACCAGAGAGCAATGACAAAATATGTATATTGTCAACAGATCCAATTTGATACCGTCAACAGAGACTTTTGTTTAAAATCTTGGGAAAGCTCGGCTGTCCTCCAAAATTCATCAGACTTATTCAAAGCCTCTATTCCTAGGTTAATGCTCGTCTAATTGTAGATGGTGTCCTAACAGAACCGTTTGAATACAATAGTGGTGTAAAGCAAGGGTGCAAGCTAGCGCCCACCTTGTATGGCATCTACGCTGCTGTACTTCTCTTGCTCGCTTATGCAACCATTAGTCATCAATTCAGCGTAAAAATCAAATTTCGGTATGACGGTGATCTCTTCGATTTGACAAGATTGAAAGCCAAAATGAAAACCTTTATCAATTTCATCAGAGAAGCACAATATGCTGACGATATTGCAATCTTCAGTGACTCGTCACTTGGACTACATGTTCTACTAAACGCCTATAATAACATGGCTAAACAAATGGGGCTTTCGATCAATATAAAGAAAACCGAGACAATGTCCATTGGTCCGGAAGAGGATTTTTTCATTGACGGTACACCAATCAAAAGCGTGAATCGTTTCAAATACCTTGGAAGCATTGTTACTAACAATTGTTCAATGAACACCAGGCTCATCACATGTATACAAGCTTTGTCTTCTGCTTATGGCAGGCTCCGTGAACGTGTATTTGACTCACATGACCTTACAATATCGACAAAACTGAAAGTGTATGCTCAGTGTTTAACACCACTTCTCACGTATGGTTCTGAAACCTGGACACTATATCGACACCACATCAATCAGCTTCGCACAGTCCAGCAACGGCATTTGAGGAAGATTCTCCGAATAAAATGGAGTGACTTTGTAAGCAATGAAGAAGTACTACGTCAAGCAGATGTTGACGATATAGAAATAACACTCATTAAAAATCGTCTACGTTGGCTTGGTCATGTGTCAAGAATGAACGACAATTGTCCCGTTAAAGCTCTTATGTATGGTCAGCTCGACAAAGGCACTCGTTCTGTTGGTCGACCGAAACTACAATATAAAGATACGTGCAAAAGCGTTCTTAAATCCGGAAGAATCTTAGGCCAATGGCAAGAACTGGTTGTTGATCGTCAACTTTGGAGACAAACCATTGCAAATGTCTGTCAAAATGTGAATGCAAATCGAATTGCGATCTATGAAAGACGAAAAGAGCACCGAGCTCGAAAGAAAGTTATAAATGGAAATTTAGGTTAGAATAAAATTTGTTTTTTTTGATTTAGTATTTCTAGTGTATTGTCCGTGTCGGGCTCTAGGCGTATTATTATTATAATAAGCATTATTTTTGTTCACTGCATCAAGCTTTTTATCTCTTTATCACCCAAACTTGCTTGCTTGGATTTAATTTGAAATTTTTAAATCAGATTGATTTGTTAAAACAGATGCCTGCTGAAAATGGGAAAAAGAATCTGAGTTGACATTATCAGATTCTTCTGCAAGTAATGAAGATTATGATGCAGACGATGAGCAAGAAGAAAAATTTGGTAAGAGGACTTATTTTTGGCTCAGAAAATGGATTGCCATCAAAACAAGTATTAAAGACCATTCGGATAAAGGTAGTTCCATGGGAAATTATCAGTGGCATCACAGCCTTATTGTACGCCCCCTGTAATAATTCTGTAATAATCATGCGCAGGCAAAAGAAGCTATAAAAAAATTATGTACAATGCTCCTGGGTCCCCTAGGCGTCAGCACCCACTGGAATGCAGGGGAAGCATATGTTGTTGTGACGCCTGTGCAAATTGTTCTCTCAACTTATTCACTTGATAAAGTAAATGAAACCATTTTGGAAGCAAATAAATTTAATCAACAAAGCAGTAACTTTAATGTTAAACAGCAATGTTATTAAACTACATCAAATCAAATTTTAGGAAATTATTTGTAAAGGCTTTTTTATTCGATCAACATTTTTAATATTAGGTTGAGCTTTCTGGAGCCCTATTAGAACTTACTACATTTTCAATTAAGTTTTTTAGGCAGATATGAGTCCAGGGGAGTCGAAACAGGAGGGGGAAGCATCCAACAGCACAGGAATCTCTCCTATTAGAGGAATAGGCATTACAGAATCATCCAAAATTTAACTTCTGTTTGCTAATATATTTTATTTAAGGTACAGCTGCTAATGAAACTTATGATGAAGTCGATGAACTGGATCACTCCTCGAGTAGTTCAGGTACAATACAGATTGGACATGATTGAACCAATTTATTCCTCCAGGTACTTTTTGGACATTTTAAGGCTCAAGTGTGTTGCTCAATATCTATCGTATGACAACAGTAACAGTTTAGCTTGATACTTCTAGTGTATCGCCTTGCTAATTAGAGACAATGAGATCAACAATTTGCTTTTCCTCAGGCAGAAATAGACAGGGAATATGTTCGAACAGTTAAAAAAATTATATCAAAATTAGCATTTTTTTAAAAGAACAGTCAATTTTCCTACATTTCTGGAAAAATTTGGGAAGCTTAATTTCTTAATTTCTTGCAGATTCTTCTGCTAGAGAAGAAAGAGACTTTTCTGAGTCTACATGGACATGCGACTCAGAAAGAAGTCCCCTTAATGTTGGTTGGCGACAAATGCTGAAACAAGAAACTGAAACAAAAACTAATCATGGACAATAATGCAGCGAATAAAAAAAGACGATAGGCCAAATTAGCCAACAAATGGCATAATTTGCAGACAAAACCGAAAATTTAGCATTGTAAAAACACTTTCCAGGATCTCAATAGAACTTTTCAAATAGGAGTTGTTTGACTCGGTGGAAGGACCGTTGTACGCTAAAGACTGGGATAAATTTCCAGCCATGTGTAATTAATTTTCTCCTTGGATGAGTAAAAAAAGGAATATTTGTATGAAAAGGAAACCGTTTGCGGGGGATCAGGATTTTTGTCGGTGTAGGTATAAATTATGAAAAAATCAAGACATTTAGAAGTTTACCGTAGTTGATTCATCAAATATTAAAAGGTTCGTCAGATCATATCTGTGGCTTTAATTTGAATATGGAAACCAGGGTTGCTTGAGTAGATGCTTTCTGCATGCATTTCATACAATTCCTTTGGGTAGGCATGGGCGTAGCAGATGTTAGGCTTTTAGGTTGCCTTAATAGGTAAGGATCTTGCCAAATATTATAATTTCATCGGTATAAAACTATCTGAATAAAGCCCGAATGCAATAGCTTTTCCTGCAGCCATCAAACCAACACACCCCAGCCCCTTTATCTCCTACGCCTATGGTTTTAGGTTTATTTGAAAAAGCTGGACGTTCTGTTTCGGAGGTAATTTATTCACGTAGTTGTGTGTAGTTGGTGCAGTACAAAGGAGTGGCGGTACATCAAATATTTTTGCCACTTAACAGGCTGTCAACATCCGTTTCCAGCATTAAACATACACGCGACTAAAAAGCTTAAATGTGGCTTTGTGATTGGTCCAAACAAAAAATACCGTAGGTAGATACTGTATATACGGCTTGAAAGTGCATACATCGCATTTTGGTTCTGGTTATAAGGTGGAGATACTGGTTTTGACATGGATCGCGTTTACTGTTGTTATCATTCATATTTTTAGGTTAACCTTTGCAGGACAGCTAAATAAATATCAATTCAAAGGTAAGCAGTTTCAGAAAGTGGATTGATGTGTGCAATTGATTGATTAGGTTCATACATAACATTTGGCATTTCTAAAACTTCTATTGTGATGTTAGTACATTTTTGCAGCCCACGTCATTTTGTATGATTCTTTTGGCCTTTTTATTATGCTGCCATGGTATACTATGCTGCCATGGTATGGTATATTCACGCCCTATATTGTACCATCAAGCTTTTGAAGTAGTGATGTTACAATAAAGACATGCTATTAGTTTATGATTGGTTAATATGTTATTTGGTTATTAGGGACTTGCATATAGTTACGTATATTGTTTTCATGTATTTAAAGATAAAATAAATGATATGGAATTTCATATACATCTCTGGTCTACCAAAGCTATGTCTCAACGTCAACAAGAAAAAGAAGTTGATGAAACAACTAAACTGAACTTCAGAATTGACAAAAATTCTGGGAATAATTCCAGAATTTAAAGATGGTTTATACTCTCAGACAAACAGTGCTGCCACACGTAGGGATTTCTACCTAGATTAGGGATTTTGATGGCTTTGTAGGTTTAGGGAAAACCTACAGTATAAATCTTGAAATGTAGGTATTTTTTCGAAATTTGTAGGTAGATTTTCACAAAAAGTGCAGGTGGGCTCTAGGCCAGGAAAACCACAATTAGAAAAGGTGCGAAAATTATGTGCAAGTGGGAATTTTCCGGTAATCTCAAGAGCGCACTGGGAAGTTGTGACAATCTCTTCGATTGTGAATGAGGTGTTTAATCACATAGCCTAACACGTTTGATCAATGGGAAAAATAATGTGGTGTTTTTTGCTAGAAAAGTCTAAGAATTTCCTATTTCAGTTAATGACAAGCCCATAGACGCACACTAATAAATTTCTTAAGTCTTAAACGCAGCATAACGACAATTCCAAAATACTTAAAGATGAGGGGAAAAAATATCGAGAGCAAAGATAGAGGAAAGAATGGGAGAATGAGAGTTGGGCTCGCAACTGGTTGAATGCTTCCAGAAAAGGTCCCAGTAAAGCTCATTGTCGTTTCTGCGACAAGGATCTGGCTGCTGGAAAGTAAGAAGTAATTGCCCATACAAAAACCACGCTTCACGTCAAATTGACAAAGAACATAGAAAGGAATAAATCGCTGAACACTTTTTCGAGGTAAAGAACGCCGATAAAATTAAAGCAGAACTTAATACTGTCGCATTGATAGCAAGAAGAAATTTGCCGC